CAGTACTGCAGTGTGGAGGTCAGTAGTGTGTCCTGAAGCTGGGGGCAGTTGTGTGTCCTGCAGCTGGTGGCCTCTCTCCCCGGCCCGGAAGCGCAGGGCGACTGTCTGTTCGGTCAGCGGAGGAGGCGGAGGCCCTGGCTCTGCTCATCGCAGTGACCCAGATCGGCCCGGCAGGCCCGTGTAGCCAGTGAGGGGACGGGGGGATTCAGAGAAACCGGACCTCAGGCGCCCGAGCAGAGGGCACATCGGTTATTTGATCTGGTGTTCGTCTCGCCCGCTTGGTGACGGACGAGTATCGGTGCCGCAGGCCTGTGTCCATCTCCTGTGTCCAGGGAGAGGGGGCAGCGTGCTGCCCGGAGACTTGGCCACCCTCCAGCTCAGCCCCAGGCGCAGCCCCCCGTCAGGTGTGTCGGTTTAGAGGGGTTCAGTGAGATGTGACACCTGGTTTGGGGTCGGAGTGGAGGAGGAGCTGTGCCTGGTGCTGCACTGCTGGCCTCTTGCCTTTGCCAAAATACTGACCCTTCCTGCGGTTGGGCACTTGGCCGGCCAGCCCCGGTCCTGCAGGGCCCCTCGAGTCGGCTGTGGGACCCCCCCTCAGGGGTCGTCCGTGCTCGCAGCGGGCTCTGGGGCAGGGTCCGTGAGCTGGTGGGTTCTGGGGTGGCAGTCGTCCACAGCAGCTGGAGCACATCTCGCGCCGCCGGCGGCTTCAGGCTCGGCGTACAGAGGTAGCTGGCGTTTTTTTTTTATGCTGACAAGTTTTGTGTCTTTGAAAGATTAAGGTTTCTGTAACGTGTTTGATCTTCTCGCCCACACAAGAGAGATGCGCATAAATGTTGTTTTCGCTGAGGCGGCTGTGCCTGGTGGGAGTGCAGCTCTTCCCGGGCCTCGTGCAGGGAGGGCGGGCCGCCTCCCTCCGGCTCTTACCGCCAGGGCTCTGCTGGCCGGCGCTCCATGGCTGCTGGGACGCGGAGCGGGCCGGACCGCTGGGCCCAGGCAGGCAGGGGGGTGTGGGAGGCGCAGGTCAGGAAATGGTGTTCCTTTTGGCACATTTCCAGCTCCTGAACCCCAAGAACAGTGGAGTATTCGGGGTGCTGTGCTGCCTGCCTCTCTCCTCTCGGAGCACACCTGCTGCCTGCGGCTCCTGGGAGCTGTGAGGGGGTGCGGCGGGGAGGCGGGTGGGGCTGAGGGGGGTGTGTAGGTGCCCGGCGCCAGTGTGGTGACCCTGTGCTGTCCTCTCTCCCCTCCTGCAGGTATGGCCGTGTGGAGAGTGTCAAGATCCTGCCCAAGCGCGGCTCCGAGGGCGGTGTGGCGGCCTTTGTGGATTTTGTGGACATTAAAAGCGCCCAGAAGGCGCACAACTCCGTCAACAAAATGGGCGACCGTGACCTGCGGACCGATTACAATGAGCCGGGGACCATTCCCAGCGCCGCGCGGGGGCTGGACGATACTCTGTCCATAGGCTCCCGCGCCCGCGACGTGTCGGGGTTCAGAGGGGGGGCGGGGGGTCCGGTGTACGGGCCCCCCACGTCTCTCCACAGCAGAGAGGGACGCTATGAGCGCAGACTGGAAGGGTAAGTGGATCAGTTTCTGTAAGCCAGGGTGGTGCGTTTTCAGTGCTGGTTGTTTTGTTGATTGATTTTTGTGTGTGGTTAAAGCAAGCAGACCGATCTCTCTAGGGATCCCCCAGATGGATATCATCGCGGTGAAAGTCTTTTTCCGAAATATCCATTTTTATAAAGATGCGTAAAGCAGTCCAGACGCTCACACGAATGTCACTGGGAATTGCTGTATGAGCTTGGTCCTGCTCGTGATCCGGATAACAGGTTTCCGGGGAATACCGAGGTTTGGATAATCTCCACGGATATGGATATGGGAAAGATTCTGTACTGCTGCGGAGTTAATTTTCCTGGATGTGGGAGTACAGATCTGCTCATGGTGGAATTACCTTTTTTTAAAAATGTTTAAAGATTATGCTCAACCAAAAAATGGGTTACTGTACGCTCCTGAGTCACAGTTACACATCTTGCTGTTGCCAACAGTCTGATTGATCGGAGCCTGGAGTATTATGGATATTCCCAGGAATATTCCCCTTGGATATACGGATAAGCGGGTGGATTGCAGGAATGTGGCGGCGGGTTTGGGTCGTTTTCTGTGGGATTATCTGGTTTAGGGTATTGCAGCTCGCGCTGAGTGAAGATGGAGGAGCGCCGCCGGGGGAGAGCGCGTGCCGAAGACCTGCCCGCGCTGAGCCGCGCTCCTCTTCCCTGGATTGTACAACCCGCCCGCGGGGGCGATACGGCTCAGGCCGGCCTCTCCTCCTTCTGGGATGTACTGGGATTCTCTGGGATTGTGCTGGATTACACGCCCTGGGAGAACCTGGCCTCCGGTCTGTGGGGCGGATGTATGACCTCCGGAGCGGTGTGGGAATAAGGGACCGGACCTGCCTCTGGGATTGTAAGGAGTGTGGCGCGTGTGTCCGACCGGCGCGAAGACGTTCTTGGATTATGGGTGCTTTTCTGTTGCTCCGGCGGTGCTCGGGTGCGAGGGCACGCCGGCACGCCGGGCGGAGGCGCTGTGAAGACCAGGAAGACGGGCCGCAGGAAGACGGGTGGACAGTGGGGTCAGGGGCTGGACTGGGCTGGCCACTCTGTGGATGTATCTTTGCTCTTTTCGGTTTTTGGCTCCCAAGAGACGTTGTGCCGGAGGTCCTTGCCGATGTGTGGCTTTTCCATCTTTTTTTTTCCCCCCGGACCGGCGAATGTTTTTCATTTTTTCCTGCCTTGTGGGCTGCGAAAGATCAGGAGGTTGCGATCCGGATTATTCCCACCCCTGTCCGAAAGCGGATTACTGTCACTGCTGTTTCCATTTTTGTCCCATTTTTCATTTTTTGCCATCTTTTTTTTTACAGAATATTTTTTTCTTTTTGCTCACAAAATTGTCTCCCTAGAGTTTTAAGTGGGATTGTAGGTCGGGTTACTGCAGTCTGAACAGGTTGGTATGTCCTGCCCTGTGTATTTTAGCCCTTCTCTCTCTAACCCCAGTCGAACCCCTGTCTCCTTTCCACTAACTCCAGTAGCTCGTAGCGCCGGCCGCGGTGTCGGCCTGTAGACTCCTGTTCAGTCTCCGCGTCTCTGGCTTCTGTTTGCTGTTTGCTGTCGCGCGTCCTTCCTCCCTCCCTGTCTCTCTCCTTTCTCTCTCTCTCTCTCACTTGTGCCCCCTCGGGTTTGTGGGCGTCCGGGCCGCTCCTCAGCCTCTCCTCGCTTCACACGCTCCCTCTCTGACGCCAGGTCCAAACGGGCCAATGCATGAGTCCAGCACCGTGGCTAGCCCTGCGACGCTGTAGTCCAGGCGCAGAGCAAGAGACCTCCTGACGAAACTGCAGGACAGAACAGTGCAGTGCAGTAGCAAACCCATGCACTAGTGCACATTGGAACACAGTGCAGTGTAGTAGCAAAGCCGTGCACTAGTGCACATTGGAACACAGTGCAGTGCAGTAATAAAGCAGCGCACTAGTGTACATTGGAACACAGTGCAGTGCAGTAATAAAGCCGCGCACTAGTGCACATTGCAACACAGTGTGGTGCAGCAATAATGCCGTGCACTAGTGTACATTGCAACACAGTGCGGTGCAGTAATAATGCTGTACACTAGTGCACATTGGAACACAGTGCGGTGCAGTAATAAAGCCGTGCACTAGTGCACATTGGAACACAGTGCGGTGCAGTAATAATGCCGCGCACTAATGTACATTGCAACAGTGCAGTACTAAATCCGTCTACTTGTGTACATTGCAACATAGTACGGTGCAGTAACAATGCCGTACACTAGTGCACATTGGAACACAGTGCGGTGCAGTAACAATGCCGTACACTAGTGCACATTGGAACACAGTGCGGTGCAGTAATAATGCCGTACACTAGTGCACATTGGAACACAGTGCGGTGCAGTAATAATGCCGTACACTAGTGCACATTGGAACAGTGCAGTGCAGTACTAAATCTGTCCACTTGTGTACATTGCAGTGCAGTAATAAAGCTGTGCACAAGTGCACATTGGAAGACAGTACGGTGCAGTAATAAAGCTGTACAGTAGTGTACATTGCGACACCGTGCAATAATAAAGCTGTACAGTAGTGTACATTGCGACACCGTTCAATAATAAAGCTGTGCACTAGTGTAGATTTCAACACAGTATAGTGCAGTAATGATGTGTACTAAGGTACATTGCAACACAGTGCAGTAATAATGCCGTCCATTATTGGATCACGGTGCTGCGCAGTGCAATAAAGAACCACAACAGCTGGTGTGGATCAGTAAAGTGCTGAGAAATTCAGGTTCCTGTGTTTCTGCTCTTCAGTGAGGTCGCGTTCAGCTCGGTGCAGCTCAGTAAAGTACAGTGCACAGAGCATGCTGCAGTGAAATCAAGTAGTAAATAAAGCATAAAATCAACATGATTTTGTTTATACTAGGGGCCTCATGTTTGTCTTACGACACTCGAGAACACTGGAACATGCCCAGTTTGTCACAGGAGGATGGCTGTGGGACAGTGTGAGGCGGCTGGAGGTTCGAGAGGGGCTCGGGGGCCTGAGGTCTGCTCAGAGCTCAGTCAGAAAGACTCAGCAGAGGCGCAAGAGGAGCCCAGACTTTAGCAGAGTCATCCTCTGCTTTTCTTCTGCCGTGTTGCATTAAGAGCGTGGTCTGCCGCAGACGAGAAAAGACTCTAATGAGCTTTTCTGTACTCATAGCTCAGGATCACTGCCCTTTATCGCATACCTTCACACTCACTTGCTAAGCGGTGTGTGTGGGATGACTTGAAATTGCTCCATACATTGACGTGTCTATCAATGTTTTGTGAACACCTACTTGGTGTTCACAGCTTTTGCCACCGGGGGGTGCCACTGCGTCTCCAGTGAAGTAAGGTCTTGGAGAGAGACTGCTGACATGTCAGGCAAACTGACGATTCTGACAGCTCTGTGGTGCAGGGTCAGAGCTGACACTGTGTGCAAGTGCTGCTCTCTGGTGGCATCACCAGTGAACTTGTGCGCAGCCCTCCGGTGTCTGAGCCGACAGGTGTGCAAGAGTGCATTTCCACTTTGCAGTGATGCCGTAACGACATCGTGAAAGAGGGCGAAGAGCCGCGTCCCAGTTCAGGACAGTTCCTGAGGCTGAGCTCCCTGTTCTTGCACATCCTGGCTCTGCAAAGCCTGCGGCTCCCCTAGCGCCTCCTGCTGGGCTCAGCTCTGCAGCGGACAGCCTGGCGCCGGCAGGACGGCTGGGAGAGGGGGAAGCCTGGCTCTCCCTCTGCCGCCCTGCGCCCTGGGTTTGAGAAAAGACTGAGAGTGAAACTCGTGCCCCTGATGGACCTGTGTTCCTGCAAGAGCACTAAACCCATTTCCCTCCGGCCTCACTGTGCCCGTCCCCTGGTTAACCGCAGCAGGGGGGTGAAGGGAGTCACCTTGGTGCTGGTTTTAGTTTGATTGGAATCTTGGATTTAATGCCACTGAGGGTTCAGATTGAGAAGGTGTGTTTGGGTGATGAACTCGGGGTCACAGAGACCAGGGTCAAGGGTGAAGCTGCAGTGCGGAGTCTATGCCAGAGAAGAGCCCGGGTTTGAACTGGAGCTCTTCACTGGAGTCTGAAGTCCCTTTGTGACCGTGGCGTTGCTCGTCTCGCCCGTCTCCCACAGCTGAGGGTGCGAGCGCTCATGCCCTCTGCCAGGTAGGGCCAGTCGGCCCAGATGTGGCCTGCTCAGCCCGTCGCAACTCGTCCCGGCCTGACGGGCCAGAACGCTCACGCCAGCAGGACCTGCCCTCTGAGACTGCTGCTCCATTGTCCTCTCCACCACACACACAGGAGTGTACGCGTCACCCCTGCGTCAGCCCCCCTGCACTGGCTCCCTGCTAGCTTTAGGCGAGCTTCAGGCCTTAACAGGGGGCTTGCAGATCGATTACAAGTGAAATGCGGACAAACAAAACGATTGGCATCAGAGAATTTGGAAGGTTTTTGGAGGGGAGAAGGGTGCCAGGCACAGGAGGGAGAGTCTGTGTTCCTAAATAAGAAGGATTTGTGAGGAAGGAAATGGGTTTAGTGGATCGAAAGAAGCTGCATGTCAGTCTCACACTCTTCCTGAAGAGGGATGAGAGAGCCTGGGTTCACAGGGGCGAGAGCTGGTCTTCAGTCAGTCATCACCAGGCTCCAGTGTTTCTTAGGCTCTTGAGTTCTCTGTTTCTGTGCTCTCTAGTGTGTG